CTCCGGACTCATCGCACAGAAGACGTGTGTAATACCACTGTGCCAACAAGCTCATGCCATGGCTGAACCAAATTGAGTCAAATGCGAAGATCAGTCAAACCTAGTAGGCATTTGGCAAGTCAGCCCGTAACCTGCATGGAAGTCCTCACTTGATGGGAGGCTTTCGATTGGAGTTACCAGGTCGTCATCTGTCTCCCTTCGTTGCTGTAGGGCCAAATGAACTGAGTGACCATCACTGAAGACAACATCCGAACAAACATGAATTGGTAATTTGGTTCAGCCATGGTATGAGCTAGTTGGCACAGTGGTATTACACACGTCTTCTATGCGATGAGTCCGGAGTTCAAATCCCGGACGGGACGATGGATATGCACTACTGATGATCTCTAATAAGAGCGAAACTCGAGTCTAGTGCTTCTGAGTGTATGGTTGAATCAATGAACTGAGGATTGTGGGTGAAAGTGTAGTCCGAAAGATAGTCAGTCAAATCAATCAAAACATATCCAATTGCTCTATTTCTTCCCCGGTTAGAGTGAGACTGGGTGCTGGACCAACCCAGTCTGGTAGCAGAATTTTACACTCACGCCTACTTTCTTTGGGCCCGTACTCATCATGAAACGAAAAAGATAACCGATAACCGCAGCCTTCTCAATCTCTCTACACTTCTCAGTCCGACACTTCTCGCGGTCATTCCTCAGACTCTTAATGAGCTGGCTTTTTAGGGATTTACGCGCTTGTTGTAATTCGCATCAGAAAGAAAGGCTTTACGAGTGTCCGGCAGGACAGCTGAGATCAACGAAATCCATCGTTTTTTATGATCTTGCACTCTAGTGAACCGTTGTTTTGATTGACATTTGCATTGCTTTCTTGATTATCGACCAATGTTCACTGAGTCCTCCGGTTGATGGTTGAGCTGAAAGGCTATCAGATCGTTCCGCTTTGAAGGCCAAATTGCAACCATTACTGACGTTGTATTGTGGGCATCCGTTTCGCTTGCTTTCTTGTAGTTATTTTGAGGTGTAAGAAGTTGGATCGTAACAAAGCGTGGACCGGATCCACAGGTGTTGACCAGTAAGAACGGCAGTCTTCACTGGATCCCCGCCAGCGGTAGCTGATAGCGATGTGGTCAATTTAATTGCAGTGCTGTGAGGAGGTTAGGGATTTCACTTTGTAGTGCGGTGTCGTTTCTTGTGCGAGAAGCTGGTGCTTGACAGGAACAATCCGTTATCAGTGCAGATCTGGAGTAGGCGTTCTTCGTCGTGCGTCCAGAAGCCTTTCTGATTTGCCCAAGGATCCCACTTGAGCTTTGAATTCTCCAGCGACTACAACGATGGCGGTTGACCGACCTCTTCAGAGCAGTTGACAAAGGTCGTTGTAGAATTGATCCTTGATTTCAGGTGCACTGCAGTCGGTCGATGTATTCACCGATACAACAAATAAGCAACCACGCCTCGTTTTGTAACTGTTGAATCGTACTGAACCATCCAGACTTACAGCGCACAGTCGGTTACTGACTTGAATCTAGTCGAGAAGCGAGCATTCAACCTTGGCACTTAGCGCAGTCCCTACACCAGCAACACTGCGAGCTTTGGATGTCGAATCGTCCGACCCACGAAGGGTGAAGCATTAAGATGAGGTTGGGTCAGGGGAACGCAGGAAGATGATTGAAGTAGGGATTTGTATGCGTTTTTCCGAGACAACATACATTTAAATTGAATTTTCAATAGTTAGCTAAGGCAGTTTGTTGACCGATCTGGAAGTGTGCGGACATTGAACGCGCCTAGGTGAAAAAGGAATTTTGGCTTCCAAAATCCTATAACTAGTAGATAACTGAGCGATATCCGATGGTTAGCGTTAGCAGGAGGCATCTGAGATTATTCGGGTTGGAGCAGACAAACTAGACAGATAGGTGTCTAAGGCTTTAGGGCACAACATACTTCGCGGTAGCCCACGCCGACGAAGCTATTCCCCAGGGAGATGCAGAACTCAGGTTTTGTGAGGAAAATCAAATTGATCAAGACAGCACACGGATGAACTGATCATCATTTCGGTCATTTCCTCAGTCCTTTAGGTCGATTATCTTGCCAACTAAAAACTTTGCTGAAATAATTAAGTTAATTAGTAGGACATCAGCGTATCAGTACGAAAAACTGAATAATTGAGAGTCAAATATAATTCGGAGATCGTTCAGGTGGGGTCCTGAAAAAGTAAATATGGATGCCATAATCCAGATGTGTACAAGGACGAAAATCAAAAATAGAACAGTCATTCGACCAGGAGCAGTCGACCACAAATATTCGTCGCAGACATTGATTATCCATTTTTGATATGCAAATCAAGGAAGTTTGAAAACAAAGAAGCGGAATCTTCGTGTCTACTGAAGATGCGCTGGTGGTTCACTGGCGAATTACTAGCTTACCACGCGGGTTTGGCTCCCGACTGACGAAACGTCTTAGTGTATGCTGGGGAGTCTGATAAGAAAAGAGCCTCTGAGCTGGTAGAGCGCCCGCCATGTTTCCTGAGTAATATTTCAACTCTTCTCCGGCAGTTACCCAACTCCCATCTGTTTTTCCAAGAAGCCAGGGCATTAATCAGGAACTACATCCTGAAGAACCGTTCGACAGACGGCTAAATCGGGCTGAAAATCCACGGTATACAAAGACAACTACTCTTTAAAAGTAAGACGAAACCTAATGCTACATTCAACAGCCATAAATGGAACCCGTTCAACAAACAGGGACAAGTAGATTCGTGTTTCGAATACAGTCAGTCACCGATACACTTCTGCAGAGGTACCAAAATAGGCAAAACGCATACTAGCGAACATAGAGCGGTCAAAGTCGCCATATTTCGACAGGAACACGTATACGTTCTTCACGAGAGGTTTCGACTTGATGCATGTTCGAAGTGAGATGAAAAAGGGAAGAATTTGAAAGTCAAGATGAAACAATCGAATGGGAGACGGATATGCGTACACGCAGCCTCAGACATGTGATAAGAAGCTACAAAAAATCATACAGAAGAACTCACTTTATTTTGCAAACCGAGAATCAGAGTCTGTTGTTGATAAGCAGTTTGAGCACAACTCTGAACGTACTCGCCGTAACGTTTGGCAAATGCAACAAGCTGCTCGGGGCGTAGGCAGGGGGGGGGGAAGGTAAAGAATATTCAACAAATGTTAATTGATGGTTCTAGTCACAGTCATTACGGGTCACGAATGAAGAAGCGTACTCACAAAGTAAACATGCAATAAAGCGTGTATTACAAAACCCAGTGAACCACGGAAAAGATTGCGAAGGAGAGAGAGGCTGTAAAAACTTATTAGTGATCCATTTCCAGAACTAGTTGATGTGAGCACAATGCAATGACCGGAAATGAATCATCATCATCAGCAGCAGCAACACTAGATGGAAAGGGCTTGCATGTTATACACTGAAAACATGCGCTTAATACGGGATAAAGAATAAGTGAGTATGAAGCATCGAAAATAGATCCAATCTGATATCATTAGCAGTTATCCGAAGGCACGGGAATCTTAAACAGCTATACTGGCTGGATACCAGGCTCGTCCTACGACAGGCGGGAAGCGTATGACACCGTAAAACTGTCTACCCGTTATCATTGCAGGCTACATAGTATTGTGTAGTATGAAGTGAATTATCATGTAGGTATAAGGTACGAAACTTTGTGGGATACTAAGAGTTTGATCAGGCTGCGGATGAATTTCACCACTCACGACGAGAAAGACAGTAGCCGAATCGTCAACATTTGTATGTTATTACAATAACAATAATACCAATGGACAGAAAGAACTGTCAGGTTAAGCATTGGGCTTTATCTCATACTCTTCGCATGTGTGTTGCTCGGTTATCTGTTTGAGCGGTTGTTCCAATGACAATACCCAGTGACCCTGATGGCCCACAGTTAATTGGAGCCTGGGTAACCACTCTCGTTATAGTGCGCTAAACTCATCAGATGGCATTATTTATTTATATATTCAACTGAGGAACGATCAAATGAGAGAGCGAAAAATGGGGCAAAAAACGACAGCTGAAAGAGCCCAAACTCATCTATAACTAAGGGATACAGAGAGACAATGTCAAAGAAAGTTTTATTGTCAAATAATTCATCACTCCTACCCCATCTGGTGCAACTCGATGCAGCGAAACGTCTAGGTGTCTCCCAGATGAGGAGGTAACCAGATTACCAGTTAGTGTATCTTCCAGACTTCCAACAGACTGAGCGATTAGAGGCTCAAAGGCGGGAATTTGTCTCAGTCGTCGGAGTTCAGCAGAACCGGCATCGGTTTTGTTGTAAGCATGAGCGACTGAGTCCAGAGAACCCGTGGAACGCATTCGTCTTATTGGTCCGGGACAGACAACTACAATACCAGAGGAGCGATTCAGTTTGCCCAGAGACGGAGAATGCTGACGAGAATGCGAAGTCAGAGATGTGGTTGAACCGGAATGAGTCCAAATCATTCGGTTGGTGGATTCGGGGCTGGTGAGAGGTGGAATTGAGGACACGTGATCGCGAGGAGTTTTAAAATTAGACATGGTCACGGATTTGCTCGACTCACGGGACAAGCGATGGGAAACGGGCAGAGATGAATGTTGCGGGGATGGCGGTAGAGATGATGATGATCCGGGCGGTTCTGAACACACAGAAACAATTATGGAAAGAAAGACACGCTGCAACTAGCAGTGCAAGAAAACAATCTCTTAACATAGTCTAAAATTAAAAGGCACTCATTGTCCACATCATCGGAAAGACCTCTTTTTTGTGCTAATCAAGAACCAACAGAAATATGTATCCAGTGGCAGAGCAGAAACCTCAATTTAGATAAGTGCAAAACTAGTGCCCAAATGAGTCCACCTAGGGTTATACCGTGCAGGTTCAAGCATCCTATGCACCTGGGTTTTATACATTTTGCTAGCCCATTTCTGATGATTCATAATGTGATAACAATGAACGGTCGGACAAGATCAATTCACTGTTCCCATTGGTTGAAACATGTTGCCAAAAGTATCACGGCCATCACGATTCCTACAGACACGGGTCAGTAATTGGAGCCAGAGTCAACCTTCCAATTGTCTAACACGTGCTGCAACTCCCATTCAAATATTGGTCTTTAAACCCTGAAGTCGTTGAGAACCTTATGGGCGAACTTTTCTGAAAGTATGAAGAGCACACAGTTTTGCGATTATAATGTTTATGGAACTTACTATTGCCAAATCGCTGAAAAATGGGTTAACACAATTGCTAAGCAGGCCCGGAACAACTAACCACAGGATAACTAATGACAAGCTGACAAAAGACAATGTAACGCCAGACTGCTTTGAGATAGCTAGACACGAAACCACAGAATAAGTATCCGCAAATATTTCCGCTAGAAGTCACCTATACATGTCGAAAGCATGCATGGGAGATAAAACACTCAGAAGGACTCCCGAACTATCGACTGTTGCGCAACAGTTCTGTAGACAAATCCGCGAGTAGGCCGAGTTTCATGCACGCCGTGGATGCATAGATCAAATCTTCACCCTCCGTCAGCTACTAGAACACTGTCACACATACAGACGACAAACCGTTGTCGTGGTTTTAGACATCAGAGCGGCTTTCGACTCAATCGATCGCCCCGCACTACGGAACTGTTTGCGGCGATACGGAGTACCCGAGAAGCATGTCTCACTCCTAAAAGCGCTCTATCACCAGACCTCGGGGACGGTTAGGACCTACGGTGAATTTTCACCCTCATTTCCTGTCACCAGTGGGGTGCGACAGGGTTGCCTATCTCTCCGTTTCTCTTCAACTTTGCCATAGATGATGTCCTACAAAACGCGTTACATAACGTAGCAAACGCTGGTGCTGAGCTTCTTCATGGAGACAGAGTCGTAGACTTAGAGTACGCCGAGGATATTGCCTTACTGGGTGACAACGCACCAACGATTCAAGAGTCGGTGAAACGTTTGGCAATTGAGGTTACTCGCTATTGTATATCATTTGCACCTTCAAAGTACAAAGTGTCGTTGCAAGATTGGCAGGAACCCATTCCTGCACTTTCATTGGATAATGACACTCTGGCAGTAGTCGAAAGCTTTGTCTACCTTGAGAGTTGCATAACGGCTGGCGGAGGTGTGGGCGAGGAGATCTCTCAACGGGTGATCAAAGCTAAATTAGCGTTTGCTAATCTGCGGCATCTCTGGCGCCGGCGCGATATATCCCTTTCACTGAAAGGGCGTGTGCATTGCGCAACGGTACGCACCGTGTTGCTCTATGGATGCGAGACCTGACCTCTCCGAGCAGATCACGTCCAGCTGCTATCAGTCTTCGACAACCGTTGTCTGCGCAACATCGCCCGCGTATGGTGGGAGCATCGCGTGAATACCGATGAAGTCAGACGACGGGTGCTAGGATCAGATAGTCTTCCTTTGGGCAAAATAATTTCACAGCATCGTCTTAGGTGGCTAGGGCACGTCCTACGAATACCTGAGCACCGTCTGACACACCGTGCACTACTCGCAGACATCAATCCAGGCTGGAAGAAACGAGGTGGGCAGGCTATGACTTGGCGCAGAGGGTTAAAGAGATTGTGCTCAGAACTGGCTTCCGTTGGGGTTTCTCGGCTCCCCGGCTGGGGCCCCAAAGATTCAGATCATCTTTGGCTGGAGACACTGAGGGATATGGCATCGGACCGAAGTCAGTGGCACGAATGCATCACCTCTTGTCAACAATCTCAAAAATAAATGAAAACGAAAAAGCCTCAAAATGGCGTGCAGTGAACGAACAAAAAAATTGTTACTCCCCGAAGTTGACCGTTTTATTTTCCCCGTTTTTGTACCTATATTTTTTCGTTGACCCATGGTTATTTTGGCGCCGTATCTGTAAACATTGGGGTTGAATATATATATATATATAATTATATGGATTTCCCGATAAAGGTGAATGTATCTATAGATGGTGGCTCCTCATAATCTTTAGGCGAATATAAGGACAAACAATCTGGGCATACAGCAAGCGTCGATTCCGTAGTCCTCAGAAGATTACATAATAAATGGTGGGAAACTTGGTAAGTAGTAAAAGAAAATCAGCAGGATATTAAGGCCGAAAATCGTTTAAGAGGCTTCACATTTGTGTGCAATTGGAATTGCAATCCTCATTACAACCTTTCCGATACACAATATAATCATTATTGTCCCATGATTTATTTGGCACAGTCTGGTCTCAGACGAGTGATATATATATATATATTTGAAACTTCAAAATAAAATAAATTACCAGAAAATATTACCGAGGGCTGCGCATTAATCAAAGTCATACCTATTTACGGTGGAATTACCTGCTCGTGCTATGACATGACCAAAATCTTAAATCTAATACCATGTCATTCTAAGAAAAAAAGTCCGCTTTCATTAAAATTTGTTATCCCGTTACCGATGGACTGGAACAAAATAACGCATCTGTCAGGAAGAATACCTTTCATAAAGATCAGCCAATTCATTAGAATAATCAATAACTTGATAATGATATATTATGCTACCTTAATGATTATCATGCTTTGATGAATAGAATAGATTACGTTTTGAAACAAAACTTTCGGATATTGAAATCTGAGCAGGGAATGTGGCAGAGAAAATTGAAATTTAGGTGTGTATGTGTTAGAGAGAGGAGTCAAAGTAAACTCACCGGCGGTTGTGACATTTCTCAGAGAGGAACTTAGACTGGAACTTGGATCGTTCACAGGATTGCTTTGCTCGGCACCCATTGGAGCATGTCGACAAAACACTGGAAAGAGTTCGGGGAAAAGTTAAATCAGCCAACCAATTCCAAAAATACAAGAGATCCATCAGAAGAATGTGGGAATAAAGTGAACAAACCCGCTGTAATTACTGCTAAAAGCCAACTGTGATTCTACTACTTCTGCTACTACTATCGTCAAGTCTAACTCAAGCTACGACAATAAAAATTGTCTACTTGACCATAATTGCTGCCAACATCTCGACTGAGTAAACTGTAAATATCCGGAACTCGGATAGAGATTTATATCAAATAATGCACTTGATTGTTCTGTTAATCACACACCATGCATTATCCGATTTCAACCCAAGTGACCCATGGATGAGAACAGTAAGAACTTTCAGTTCCACATATGGACCCTCACGGCATTCTGTATAGGATTTTATAACCCTTAGTGGCTACAAACAGAAACAGATCTGAATATCACAACAGCAATGCTTGTTAGTGGACAGTGAGGGAAAAAAACAAAGGATGTCAAACTAAGATCTGGCCTGAGGGTATGAAAACCCTGACCCGGAAACTGAGTCGTACAGGTCACGTTCGGCTCCCTCTATGGGGCCTCGGGATCATTGTAATCAATGGTTAAATACAGCGATATGGTTGAGGGACCGTAAACATTATATTTGCAAGCTTAGTCAACCGGAATTCTCTATTTTCTCTTCGACACTGCTCTCAACTTTCCAATCTTCCTTCTACTCCTTCATCTGAATGGGCAGCCAAAAGACAGCAATAAAAACCGGCGCGCGAAATTGCATGGCAAATGATTGTACAAAATGAAACCGAACTAGTGAAGAACTGTCTCATAATAATTGGAACTCTTCACTTGTGCAAGTTTAGAAACGCAAGCCACGTGACTGCGCAACACGATCGACGTCTATGAAGCTGAGCGCACAGTTGTGAAAAGCTATGTAGACTCGGTGGAGTTTGAACATACGCATGGACACCGCCTACGCTCCTCTACACTGAACGCCCCACCAATAGAGTTACGAGACAACGTGGCCTCAGCAAAATATTTTAGGTAAAACAGATCTAGAAAAGAAAAGAAACATTTTTTCACCGTTACTGAACATGCTCTGGGTCCCATATTGAGCGTTGAAATGTGAAACGTACAAGTACAAACGTCTCTGATGAATCGATCGAACGGGATATCCGAAATTCTCATGGAAGCTTGGGCAATTCCGATGGATATACTGAACAACTGGGTCCTTAACAAAACGCTTAAACTAACTGAGAGATATCAGACTACGACATGAATCCCAGTTTTCCAACAAATATGGGATCATCATCTGGTTCCTTCGCGCAACAGGACACATTTCATGACTGCACGATATCCCATTACATTATTTTGGAGGATTCAAAAGTTATTGCCTTGAATTTGATTGTTCTTATGTTATTCTAATCTCTGTGGCACATGGAGTAGCTGGCGGAATGAACTAACACTAAATATACCATACCAGAATTTGTACCATATGCAATGGTATAGCTCAATTGGAAGTCAACAATCGAGAGAGAGCTGAGAAGGTAGGGGAAGAGATTAGAACCGCCTATTTTTGTGATCACAACTGGGTTTACGTGATATCCTTTGTGAGATGCATTTTCTTCAAATAAATTTAGTTTAGTGGGTTCGAGTGCACGGGGTATAAGCTGATAGCTGGTTTTAACCTACACACTTTGAAACAATGAAACCATCTTTTATCGTACAATGGGCTATTTTTTCTGAATGATCCTAAACTCAACTGCGATTTCAGGACAGATTGTTGTTCGGTTACAGATTATTTGGGCTGTCAATCAGATTAAGATACACCGGTGTATCGGTACCTTTGGGAACTCAAAATTGCCACATTTTAAAAAGCTTAAGCCGATGGCTTCGTCTTCAACTACAGCAGATACGATAAGTAATTAAGAATTACAGATTTCCCCGATAAAGTGATTGCTGGCTCTGGAACAGCAATGATAAAACTGGTGTTTCGACATTCGCCTTTGAGAAAATGACCATTCTGGGTTCTCGGAACTACTGATGCACCGGTACATATCTACATCAGAACTGCGAAGCGTTTTTCGAATCGGAAAAAATTAAAACTATCTTTCGCGAGATTTTGAGTTTTTAATTCACCAGTTTAAACGTGTCACAATAATGTGTTACGATAGCTTCGATGCTAGAAATTTAGCATTATTTGTCAGCTTCTTTCCAAGTCCGTACAGAAAGGTTATCTACCACGCGCGTATTGAAGAAATTATCCTTTCTAAATTGTACTTCATTCACACCATCAAACTAAGGAACTGACTGTGAGAAAGAGGTCTATTGCACCTGTTTTGAATTTTAAAATTTTTTTATTGGAACTGAAGATCAGGCACTTGTCACCATAAGTTTTAACACTGGCGATGATCATATTTCATTTCCATTTATTGGACACAAAAAATATATAATCCATTTTCAGGAATGAAACTCTGACCGAGTGACGGTTGCTGTATAAGAAATGGGACTGAGTTGTCGGTGACGAGTTCCAAACTCAAAAACGGCATCCCAACATGGTTTCCAGATAGGGATCCGATTGTCCGAGTTCCCCTACGTGAACAAATCATCCTATTTTATGGTATTTTGCAAAAGAGTGGAAAAATGGTCAACATTGAGGAAGAATACTAATTGGCGCGAACAGAATTGGTGTGCGTTTACACATATATGGGGAGAGGAACAGAATATAAATGAGGAAATCGAGTCGGTACACATGCGCCACAGTTTACATTGCTCATTAATATCACCTAATATCCCCAGCTATCGATTCGAACGTTAAATCACACATTGGTTCGAACCTTGTTCCAATCAGTGCGCATGGGGGAAGTCCGCCTTCTGCTATACGTAACAAACGGTTCGGCCTTCAAAATCTACCGATGTTCCGCACTTATGTCGGTTAAAAATTGCATGCACTCTGACGAATCTTGTAATTTGCTTGACCGAATTTCACACCGTAGTTGATCAAGTGGGTAGATAGCACTGTTTGAAGAATGATATCTATATCCCTTACATGATAAACTTGGCGCAACACTGAACTCCTCATTGGTCATTACTCAGAAGCGCAGAAACACTGAACGTATATTCCCCGATATCCCCCCCCCCGCTCCCAATCGATACTAATGTGTAGATGATAGTATTTATCCGAAATCCCTTGGGTGACTTTTTTAATAAAAATACATTTGTCATCTGGAGTCAAATGGCTACTCGCTAGACATAAAGTAGTGCAAAATGAACAGTAGCAATGTTTCGAAATGCATGAAAAATCACGAATAGAATCAAAGCCCAGGACC